TCTGGCAGCTTTCCCACCAATCGCCAGAGAGGAAGCAGACATCCCAAACTTCAGATATGCGCCCGACCCCTCCGCATTTTAGCTGACTGGACTGCAGGTTTCAAAACAGATGCTTTTCAATGGAGCAAGTCCTTTCACATACCTTTAAAGAAAAGGAAAAAAAAGAAAAAGGAAAGCCAACAACAACAAAGCTACCTACATCATTTCTTACTGACAATGGTAATGATTTAAACGGCATTTAAATCAGGTTTGGTTTCAGGATCCCCTGTGATACACCGTCCTAAAAAGCAACAACATAAATACTGCCTCTCTACCAGAAAGAGACATTCAGTGCAGTACTGATTACAGCTGCAACACGGAGGGAGTAAAGACTGAATCAGTTTGGCACAGGAAGAGGCAATTCAAAGGAACAGCCGAGTGAAGGCAGCCGTGTTTTTAACAAAAAGTAACCAGGCACATTGCTACGAATAGAACAGAATTGACTTGAGTGTGACAAGGTGACACCAATATTTACCAGAATACTGCCCATGGAATGAACTGAGGGCTAACTCACAAGTGTCTCCCAAAGTAGGTACCTGTAAGGGTTAGGAAGTTCTCTTCTCCCACCCAGCTGTGCAACCTTCCAGATGCACCATGGCATCCCCAAGAGCACTGCACTTTTGTACTTGTGGACATTCAGGAATAAAACACCACAGCACATTCCTCGTAGCAATCAAATGTTTTTTAAATGAGGGACTCTCTGGAACCCACCATTCAGGATGGCTGCTCATCTCATCAGGCTGCTAACTCTCAAAAAGGGGATGGAGCAAACCCAGAGCGCTGTGCAGTGGCCAGCAGCGTGCCAGCGCAGGCAAGCCAACAGAGAAAAGATTATCCCACTAAGGAATTAGAGAACAGGGACAGCAGTAATGCCAGTCAGCATGTACTCGTGGAAAAAATGCCTTGATAAAAGGCTAACTTCACTCCTTGAGATTACAAATGTAGTCAAACAGAACGAATTATGCGCACAGAGTGTACTTGGGTTCCAGTGGAGATCCACATCAGCTGCTCCATATTGACTGGTGCTTTCTGAGAGCTGCCTGTTAGCGTTCTTCACGTGCTCTGGTACTGCACCGTGTCAATTCTTTTTTGTCACTACATTTCAAGTCTGATGCAGTTCAACGTTTTGCACTGCAGATAGAAATCTGTGACCGTCACCACGACTGTGGGAGCAGTACATCACTGTGAGGAAAGGACAGCCAAAGAAAGAGGTCCGAATATCTGCTTCAACCGTGCCCAGAAAAGCAAAACGTATCTGAAAACAAAGGCAAATTCGTAAACTAAGAAATGCAAAACAAAACTGTTAAGTGGCAGACTTTATTAGGGAGAACCTCAGGGTCACAGCAGGATTTCCCCATGCAAAAGGGGTCCTACAAACCTTATAAACAGCTGCATAGTATAAAGGGTCACTGCACCTTGATAGTCTGCGTGGATAAGAGGCAGACTGGAACACTTGCCATGTTTGGTTTCCACTATGTTAAAAATAAATGGAGACCATGAAGAATCACCGGATGATCTGAGTGCTGGAGAAAATGCCTCAGAGTGAGACTTAAAAGCTCAACTCTGTTTCCTTATCAATTGACTAACGTGATTACAGAGTGTAAGTACCTTCATGGCAAGAAAGCACTGGATACTAAAGGGCTCTAATCTTGTCAGGAAAGTCATAACAAGAACCAGCGGCAGAAGTTAGACAAATTCAAATTAGAAATCAGCCACTTACTTGCAGCAGTGAGATGGCACACACTACCAGAAGCGAGGAGTCAGAAATTACTGGAGATGGACATTCAAGGCTGGAAAGTTATCCAAGCTTTTTTTCTTTGGCAAACATTGGTTATTGGTCTCAGTTTCAGAGTAAATGATTAAAATTTAAAGACTTGTGATATAAAACATATAAAACATATCAGACAAGGCAATTTAATTGTCTGTTCTCACCTTAACTTTTATGAATCTCCAATACGTCAACATCATTCTACTTCTACGGGTAGGGAAATTAAGGAGGGAGGGATAAGTTTCAAGTTCAGTAAGTTCCTTCTTTTTCAGATCGTTGTCCGTATCACTACACAGCACTGCTCCATCAAGCAGATGGAGCCCCTGTGAACGCAGTCAGAGCAAAAACTACCATGAGGTCTGGAAACAACGCATAACACAACTGGGCCGAGCAAACCGGTGATGAACTGCTTACCTCTCCCATCTGTGGCATGAAAAAAATCAGTATTAGCTTCAATAACTACTTCTTATTCTGTGTAAATACACTTATGTCATTCATGTTTATGTTACTGAGAGCAGCACGCACCACCACCCAGCCAAGAATCCTCAAATGCTTTAGGAACATGCAAACATCTCAACAGCCCTGAAAGGATTGTATTCATACTACACGCCGGTACACAGGCGAGTCAAGAAGTTTGCCCTGGGTCATAAAGCAAGACTTACGGCAGAGCCTAGAAACGAGGGAGCCTGCTGACATCTCCCTGCCAGAAGAACTTTCCTTTTCAACCTTTGAGTACTACTACATGTCAGAGCTGCGCACACCCAGCTCCAACTCCAAAGCCCCGCCAGTGAAATCACAAAGGGACTTCTAATGAAAGCTGACATTGTAACCAGAGAATCTGATCATGGCAGAGAAAGTGTCCAAAATAAAGGTCAGAATAAATACCCAAGTAGAAACAGCGCTTGTATTTTATGAACTAACGAAATGCTTTCTGCTTCCATCAGTATTGCAGTACTGCTGGAAGAACAAAAAGCAGATTCAGGGCTTGCTTCAGAGCGCATAAGAAATGGGCAGTTCTAAATGCAGGAAATGACTATATGCTACACTTCCTAATTGATACGACATAGCTTATCAGAAGAATAAAACCAGCTGCTCACAATGCTCACTGAAAGCACAGCCCACAGTATTGTTTCAGTGGGAGTTGTTTTATTGACAAACTTCAGAAAGTGAAAAGGAAAGAAGGTTTCTGAACTACTAAGTTCAAAAGGGGAGAGGAAACCAAAGCCAGGAATTCAAGGCAAGAGAGATTGAGATGGGGGTATTCAGAACCAAACATAATTAATATATTTTGCATGCCTGGCTCGCAAATTACTTCCTTACTCCAATATTAATACCTCATCTACAACCACAGCAGTGAATGGGATTTCTATAAATTTAATCTAACCTCCATAGATTCCTTACACGTACGGAGAACAAAAGAAGGCCCCTCCATCTATGGAGCACATAATAAAATCTGTTTTCCTCCGGCTGCAAAAAACTCTTCCACAGATCTGAAAGCAACACCCAACTCACAAGGCAAATAGCAGCTGGAAGAAAGCATTGCCAACATGCTGCAGACACTCACACAAAGCCAGGTCCCTGTCCAGCCAGACCACAGAAGTCCTTTTGGTATATATATGTATATAAAACCTGATTAGCTACACCTGCTGATACGTTTCAGGACAGTAACTGCACTAAAACCACCATGAAACGAAATAAACGTTCCTATGGAAATTCCGTAGGAGAAAGAGTTAACTGACCTTTCATACACTGGGGCTGCATGGAAAGACGAAGCAGAATTCACTCTGTCACAAGCACTCCACTACAGCAGTTCCCAGTTTTAAGAGCAGTTTTTAACTTCAAACTCTGCAAGCAGCTTTGATTAAAAACTGGGAAAATGAAATCTGCACACAGACGAGAAGAGTAACCAGTCCTACACTATTTAGTACATAAAGAAGCACATCAAACCAGCAACTGCTCAATATTTTGGTGTCCAGGTTAACACGGCGCTGAATCAAAACTGTAATAATCATGCATGAGCATTCTTAAAGATCTCAAGTCCAACACTGAAAAATTCCTATTAAGCAAATAAGAAAAGAAAAGCAACGCAAGAAAAAGGTGCATCCCTTATGGTCTTATAAGAAGACTTATCCCAGTGCTTCTTTTGGTCTGGTAGAAAGGGAAAAAAAAATACCTAACAGCTTTAAAAGCAATAAAATTAAGAGAATAAATGAGGAAGACAAGTGTCAAACCACAGAAGTCAATGGAAGACGGGAAATTCTCCCATTGCTGTAAAATAAATAAATAAACCTCATTGACTCGGGCATTTGTGCTGAGTGCATTACAAGATTAGCCAAGAAACGTCATGTATTGACAGCATATTAGTGTATCACACGTGTAAATGTGCAGCAGCTGGGGAACTGAGGCAGCTGTGTACAACTGTCACGGACTCAACGTGTGGCTCTGAGTCACTCAGCCTCAGTTTCTCTACCTTTAAAATACCGAGAGCTTCATGAAGTACGTAAAGATTCGCAGGCTAAGGTACAAAGTATTCCTTTATCAGGGAGCAGTACAGGAGGACAGTGGCTCAGCCATAATGAATCAAATCTGAACCATCAGAGTCCTGCTCCAGCAGTGCACCACACAAGTGGTGGCCATAAATCGATCACTTCTGATTAGGTTAGGCTTTACGACGCAGTAATTGTGATAGCAGCAGTTTCATAACTGTGAAACGAGCACTTTGCTCAGCAGCACATTATGCAGGAAGCCCGCATGAACAACGACCTCTTTGGTCAACCTGACTGCACCAGCACAGAACAGAAGCATCCCAAACACAATATATGATTTTTAAGGTTCTCTACCATAAAAACTCCTCCATTTGCTTTCACGGCTGCAGGCTAACCCAGTCGAGTGGGAGGAGAGGGGAAGGAAATCAAACAATGCAATTCTTAAGAAAGACCAGAATTCAAGCATTTCTATCTCTCTGCAGCAGGCACAGCACAGAAATAAACGCATTTCTCACAGTGGCAAGATGAAATTTTCACTTGGCCGGCAACTGCAGAGCCCATTCCCTGCTCTTCTCTGCGGACCACATGACCGCCTCAATGCATAAGAACATTTTTTGTGCCAGCTTGCAAAGAAGACCACATAGTTAATAGTTTGCAACCTCCTTTCCCCCAGAAGATCTTCAGTGTTGAGTAACAAAATTCCTCACATGATTTCAATGAGAGGGTTCACTTGTCAGAGGCTGCTCCGAGATAGTATCAGATGTCAGGGAGGTGCTGTTTAGACGAAGCTTTCCAACCCTTTCCTTGCAAGGCTCAACTGAAAAAGAAAAAAAACTTCAGGCTATACTGTTTGAAACTGGAAGAAAGGAAAGTAATCTCTAGACGTTATTTTTAAAACGTGGAAGTAAGCCAATTAACAAGGGGAGGAAGAAACACTGCAATTAAAACCTTGACAAACTGGAGATCGAGGACTGATTGCTGCCACAGACTCCATGCAGGACCCTGAGCATCTTAATCCCTCTACACCCTGGTTTGTCACCTGCGAAACCAAAAATAACACTTCCTTTTCATACCTTGTTATTCCTGCTTGCTCTGTTCCCCAATTTATAAGCACTTGTCCAAACATTCATCTTTAGCATGAACTCTGAAAACGGCATTCACAGCTAACATACAATCAGTCTGCATGACTGAGTGCTCAAATGTGAACCTCTTAGTATACTTGGCTGCCCAGCTGCCCTCATCTCTGTACATGTCAGAAAGCAGTTCTAGTCAACAGAGGAACACTAGAACGCTAAAATACAATTTATTAATAATCTAATTTATGAAAAGAGCTCTCAGGATGGGAGTTGACCAAAAAAATTCCATTTCTCCTATTACCTCCTAAAATCCCACTAAAATCATGCCATTGGTCTCACTCCATTGATAATACACAAGATAATATTATCAGCATAGGTATAATTAAAGGGGCAATCCCACGAGGGCTCACACGCAGATCCAACGCCTGCTCCATTAAAATCAGCATCAAGTGAAATCGACTTCAGCGACTTCAGGAGTGTCAAAGCCGCAGAAAGGAAGGGGAGAAAGGACGACACGCTCCTCTGCAGCAGGAGTCTCAAGTTGGCAGCACCCCTTCAAGAGCTCCATTTCAAACCCTAAACTTTGCATGAGATGAGAACTCCTCGCCACAGATCCCAGTGCTGGAACGTGTGTTTCTGTAGCGCCCTTAAAAGCTCAGCACAGAAATCACAGTAAAACACAAGTTGCTTTTTTCAGATTCAATTGCGCAGTTCGTTTGATGGAAATCTGTTCATGTCCTACTGCATATCACCAAACATCTTCAGAGGTGCCTTTATGAAGTGGACGGGGCTGGGTTTTTTTATTGCTCATTCTTCTGTTTCATTCATTCTTCCAACTCCTCTCCCAAACACCATATCCTAAACGCCCAAATCCCATCTCTGCCTCACTGACGTTCAACAAAGCGCAGTCCCAAACGTTAATGACAGAAAACATCCGGAAATTCATGCTCAATGGAAATTAATTTTATTAAAAATAAAAACCATGTTCAAAACCAATGTCAGAAGCCCCCATTTTCCCAGCTCCAGACACGGAGGAAAACACATCAAACACTTCCATGAACCACGGATCATCACTGTAAAGTAAACGCTTCATAATAAATTCAATTTCCAAACACTGGACAGCTGTGAACTTCTAATATAGCCTTGAAAGAGACCCATAAGGCTCACACAGAAACTGCCTCAGAAGTAGCAGTAAGCTTTCTGCAGCAGACACTGGCTCCTAGTTCTGTGGAATTACCGTATCGCAGTACTGAAGGGATGCATATTTTCTAGAAAGGTCAACAAAACATAAAAGAATTGCTCAAGACCGCTTAATGAAGTAGTTGTAGAGAGAAACAGGCCTCATTCACACAGTATTTCCTTGAAGATTTCCTTATCATTCTTTAAATACCCTGCAATTTCACCTCTGGTAGCATTCCTGTAACACAGCTGGCAGTCTGCATACCACAATGTCGTCTAGACCTGCTCTGAACAGAGTTGGATGACACAGGAGTAAAAATGCTGATGCCTGTTCGGGTGCCTGCGCTGTGCTGAAGGAACGATAGGAGGAAGAAGAGGCAGAGCTGAACGAGACACAAGTTCCTTGTTCCTCATCTCACGCCCAGGCTCGTCAGACAATCCCGTCAACCATACAGAAAAGTTGTGGCTGTCATGGAGCTAAAGAATAATCTTCACAGAAGGGAAAAAAGCATTCCCAAAGCCCTGGTAGCTGATACAGCATCAAGCACCGCTCTTTCACAGACGTCTCACAATATACAGCTAATAAACACATCCCTACACTGCTGTATCCCATCCATTTCTCACTTCTTTCCTACTTCCCTCCCCCACCTGCGCCTCAGAAATGTTTTCTTAGCAATTTGCAAGAGAAATGGCAAAAAGGAAGATGCAAAACACAGAAATAAATTAAGTTTGTTCCCCGCTGCTGAACGATTTGGCCGTACCATGACAAGAGGAAAAAAAATGTTGAGAGTGATAAATCCATATATACCTACTCCAAACTACACCCGACATCCCGAGGGACCCGATGTAATGGTAAATAAATATAGATGCAACTCCTACTAATGAGGTAGGGTACAGCAAGGCCAAAGCAAATGCAATCATCTCGGGGAAAAGAACTGCACAGGACTCCTCCTCTCCCATCCATGGAGGAAATCAAATACCAGCCACACTATCCCAGGAAGAAAGCAGTGTACCTGATGAGCCCTGCAGCAACGAGCTGCACGGGATGCAAGCAGGTACTTCAGGGCTCTGGGAGCCCACAGACCGTCTGCACAGCACCGAGCCTTTCTCCACCAGTTTTCCCTTCTCCAATACAATGTCTTTTACATGCTGTCTTACAAGCAGATTGTAGTTTTTCCCCCAGCTCCTTCCCCTCCATCCCTATATAGTTGGATCAGAGGGGGGGGGGTGCATGCAGCCGAGGTCCATCAGATCGGCTCCCATGTTGCCAAGCCCTGGCCATCAGGTTAACACCTTCCTTCCTACAAAGTTTAAGCCTTCCCAGCTTCAGCTCACGTGCGTTCTGTACTTAAAGCCACTTATCTGTAGTCCCAATGAGCACAAGAAGAAATTAAGATACAGCCGGCTCCGCAGCCGGCGTGCTTACAGCCTTTATTTTCCTCTTCCTTCTTCCCTCCCCATCCCCAAAAAAACATTTTGTCCCCTGCACAAGGGGGGAACAACACCGTGCATCCACAGCTTTTTCCAGACCCACTGAAAAGAAAGGGGAATAAATAAATAACCATTCCAAAGAAGTACTCTGCAAAACAACCGAAAAACCCACCAGAGGTGGAAGAACTCAGCCCAACCCGCCTCGAATTTGCGATTTGAGCCGAAAAAACACAAGCAGAACAGTACAGAAGTCGGGTTGGCTGAGCCCGGAAGCGGGGCAGGTTGGGTGGGCAGCATCCCCTGTCCTTTCCCCGGCCACGCTGGGCTCAGGGCTCTGCTCAGCCCCGAACGAAGCCGGGCACCCACAACGCAGCACCGCAGCTGCTCTCCCCGAGAAGTAAGGAATAAACAAGCGGCTGACACCCCGCCCAAACCCTCCGCACGCGTTTTTAAGAACGATTTCTCGCCGGCTCCTTCTCCCCATCCCGCACAAACGAATCCATTCGGGTCGACGCCTTCGCCCTTCCCGAAGCCCTCCCGCAAAGCCCCGGCAGCGGCGTGCCCTTTCCCCCCCCCACCCCCCCATATATCAGTAGGAAAGCAGCGGGGTTCACCCAGAATGGGTGATGGGTCCGTCGGGGGTCGGATCCCGAAAAGGAAAGAGGGGAAAAAGGGCTGAGAGAGAGAAAAGAGACATGAAGGAGAGGGCCCCCCAGCCCCGCTCGGGGTTCGCAGCCCCTCAGGCGGCCCCAGCCCGAAGTCGGCAGCCAACAACACCAAAACAAGCCGAAAAAAAAACAAAAAACACAAGAATAAAGAAATAAATGAAGGAGCCAGCACCCACCCAGCCTGAGGGGAGTCCGCCGCCGCGAGTTCGTCCTCCCCACGCCCGGGAGCGGAGATGGGGGGGGGGGTTGGGGGTGTGGGGGGGGGGGGGGGGGGGGTGAAACAAAACAGAATAAAAAGACGAAGCAGCAGCAGCGAGCTCCCGGAAAGCCGGGGGCACCTTCCTGCCCACCCCGCGCCGTCAGGAGCGGCGGAGCCGCGCGGCTGCAACTCGGAGCGCCCAGGGGGCTGCGCCCACCCCCGGCCCGCGTCCCCCTCCTCACGCACCCTCGGCTCTCCTCACGCCGCGAATCTCTCAGGCGGAGGGTGAGGAGGAGGAGGAGGAGGAGGAGAAGAGAACGGGGGGGCCCTTCCCCCCCCCCCCCCCCCCCCCTCCAGCCCCGCCGCCCCGCCCCCCCTCTCCCCCCCCTCCCGCCCCCCCCCCTTTTCCCCCCCGCACCCACACTCACCTCCGGGTGCCGGCGGCTCCTCCGCTTCACCATTGAACGGCCGCCCCCGGCGGGGAGCCCCCCCGGCGTGAGGGGAGATTAATGGGGGCGCAGCGGGAGGAGAACAATAGTGGGGCGGAAAGCTCTCGGCTGCCGGAGCCCCCCCCGAGGACGGGAACCCCCCTCCCCGTCTCGCTTTCCCTTCCTCTCTGTTGGGTGTTGTTGGGTTTTTTTTGTTGTTTTTTTTTTTTTTGGCTCGCTCACACCAGCCTGACTGTCTTTGTCTGTCTGACAAGCGCCATGTTGATATCAACATCCGAGCTCCCACCTGCTGCAGCTGTGAGACCCTGGGACTTGTAGTTCCCCCCTCCCCAGGGTGACGGGGAGCGCCGCCGATCGTGGACTTCAACTCCCAGCATGCCCGGCGGCGCGGCACGCCACGGGAGAGCGGGGAGAAGCGGGGCGCGGACTACGGCTCCCATCATGCCTCGGGAGGAGCAAGGTGAAACGGAGGGAGGGCGGGCCCGACCATGACGTCATCGCGGGCCGGGGGACTACAAATCCCGTGATGCTCCGGGGCGGGAAGGGGGAACGCGCAGGCAGGAAGGCGGGGGCAGGGTTGTCCCCGTAAATAGAGCCGGGTGAAGCATGAAGCTGGTGAGTGGTGGGGGCTGCTGAGCGCTGATCTGTGCTCTGGGTTCGCCCTCGGGCTGCGGTACCCGTGGGGTGAGGGCGCTTCCCGCCGAGTTAACGGCGCGCTGGGGGGGGCGGTTGAACCGATCAGAAACCGTCCTCCCGCCCCTCTTGGGGTTGGGTGAGGGGCAGGCGGGGGGGTTGGCACCTGGAGGTGTTTCTACAGCAGTACGCCGTCCTGCGCGCGTGGGGCTTCTGTGGGGCTGCCCTAGAGCCACGTCGCCACGGAAGTTGTGCTGCTTTCCTGTGAACGGGATAGCTGAGGAGACGAGCAGCGTTTGCTGTGACATCAAACGTCCGATGCGTTTAACCTGATGTCAAACGTAACGTTGTGGGTTTGAGGCTAAGGAAGCTTTATGGAAGTGAACTTGGGCTTGTTTTGAGACTTAAAGTTCATCGCGTTTGTGGTTTAATTGTAAAATTAATACAGCAGGTGGTGGAAAAGCTTGATCCCACGTGATGTGGGAGATGGAAGTCTGTGTGTGTGGATGAAGGTCCTGGAGCGTGTCCAGAGAAGAGCAAAAAGCTGATGGGTCAGCCTGGGGCAGGGGAGGCTCAGGGGAGAGAGACATCATGGCTCTGTGCTGCACCCTGAGAGGAGGTTGTGGTGAGCTGAGGGCCAGCCTCTGTTCCAGCTCACAGCGATGAGATGAGAGGTGTTGGCCTCAAGTTGTGCCAGGAGAGGTTCAGGTTGGGTATTAGGGAACATTTCCTCTCAGAAAGAGTGACCCTGTGCTGGCACAGCCCGGGGAGGTGTTGTGGTCACTGTCCATGGAGGTGTTCCAGAACCGTGGGGATGTGGCACTGAGGGACACAGTGGGCTTGGTGGGGTGGGTTGGACTTGGAGACCTCAGAGGTCTTTTCCAACCGTAATGATTTAATGAATGCTTGTGGTTGGAGAAACTGGGAAAGCGTTTTTGGGCATGGCTGTGTAAGCTGATGTTGTAGTGTAGGGGGAAAAGCCAACTGAGAAATCTTTAAATGAAGACCAGGGGGAACGTGGGATTCCTTGTTGTTTGTAGAGCCTTGTACAAGGGTAGATTGAAGGGAAGGTTTGGTGGGGGATTACAGGCTGCCTGCCATCATTTCAGTGTTTTTTAGGCCTGTGTCCCATGTTTGGGGACTGGTGATTGTAAGAGCAGATTCTTCACTTTGCATTTGGTCTGGAAATAAGACTGAATCAGGGGGTTGCAGAGGAAGGGAATTGAATGCTTTCATCCTCCATTCACGTATATTTACTTTGAATTTGGAAGAACAAGGCAGAGGTAACAGCCTGCAGGCCTGACTCAGAATCCAGTGAAAAACTCAAACTTCAACAAATTCAGTGTGCTTGGGTCTGGACAAATCCAGTTGAGAGAACTGGTTCCGTGGGTAACACCGGAACAAAGCGCTGCAGTATTTGTTGGCTTCAGTTCAACTTACAAAACTTGGAATGTTTTGGAGCTGCTAGCTTGAGATGTCATCTCTTCTTTGTCACTTTGCCATATATGAGCTCACCAGCGACGTTCCAAGCTGGCGAGCCCTCAGCCTGAGCCAGATGTCTGCTGAGAGCCAGGCTGTGTGAGGGCTTCAGCCCCTCGCCTTCATCTCTGTGCCCTGCTCTGCCAAACTGCCATCCAGTTTAGAGAGCAAGTCAAGGGAGCTGTGCACTGAGATGGGCACACTCACGGTCCTTTATGTTTTGTGTCACTCACAGAGTGACAGCCAACCAAATTCCTTGTTTGTACATTCACTTTTTCACCAGCTTGGTTTATCAAGCTTTCTTAAACTTTGGTAACAGCAGACAAAATGTAATGTTGCTCCTTAATAATTAAGGCTTCATGAACTTAAAACAGAGGACTGTGATGCTGTTAATTTAATATTTGAACGTTAGTGGGCTTTAATATTTAAATATAATTTAAAACAGCTTTCTGATGAATGTATGTAAACAGTCTCCTTGGGAATCATTAATTCAAACAGTTACAGTCCTGTGTTAACATATTGTGAGTGGAGGCAGAGAAGGAAATGATTAATCTACCTTCTTTTCACTTGTGGAAAGCAAGCATAAGGAATAAATGCCTTAGAAAAATGACAGTGTTTAGTGCAGTGCATGAACAAGTTGATACTTGTCATCTTAATTGACCAAACCTCGAGTTTAAAAGCTGTTTGACCAGCTGAGAGTAGTTGTGCTAGGGGATGCCCGGACTTTGAGATGCAACATCTCTTATTCCTGTGGTCTTTGAAGAACCATTGAGTACCTAGTGGTTGCAGTCCTGTACTCAGACATCTGTTTCTAATCTCTCGTTTTAAAGGTAGCATTTTTATTCATCTCTCTTCTTATTCAAAGCTTCAGCTGCTCCTGTGCCTTGTTAAATGCTTGCCGCTCTCTGTACTGGAGATGGCTGCATCTCAATGATGCTGAAGTGCCCAGCACATAACCTGCTTACTGGCTCATTAACCCTGCAAAGCGCTGGGGATTTCTCAGTACACAAACTGTTCCATTCAGGTATGGTGGTCCATTCTCTAGTGTTTCCTGCTTGAGTTTAGCAAGACAAAAAGCAGGTGAGAGCATGCCCTGGAGCTGCTGCACTGCACACTACAGCTTCCTCGGCATGCTCTGCACCTTGCTTCTTGGTTGAGGTTAATTCCTTAAGGAAATATGACTTGTGCTCCTACAGCAATTCCCTGTTTCCATGCCAAGTAATTCTCGAATTTGCACACTGATTTCAGCCGAGTTTTGCCAGTAGGACCGAGTTGTAAAGATTGTCCAGGATCTTTGTGAAAATGGGTGCTTGTGGAAGAAAGGTTCTGTATGTGTCATAAATTAGAGAGAGCTGCTACTCTATCCGTTTGTCCTTTGTGAGCAGAAAACCTTGTCGGAAGAAAATCTGCATCTTAATACCCTGGCGTGGGGAAATTCCAATGAATGTCTAGTTTTGAGACAATAATTCACGTGAAACCAAGAGTTTCATTCTGGCATGCATGAAACTGTGCTTAAAAATGAGGGAGGAAAAGTCCATTTTCAGGGGATTCGGTCTGTTGGTAAAGGCCTTGAGGAGCTCATTTCATATTCTACTTTCAGTACTGCCTGTCGGGACATCCCACCTTACCATGCAACGTGCTCAAGTTCAAGTCCACCACCATCATGCTGGACTGTGGACTGGATATGACATCTACCCTCAATTTCCTGCCGTTGCCGCTGGTTCAGAGGTATGTTCTGCAGCCTGTGAGCACTTAGTTTGTGTCTTCTTGGGTTGCAGTTTGAGTGCTCTGCATGAAATGGTATATTGGAAGGAGAGAGGGGATGAGTACAAATGAACTGCATCATCTGATATCATAAATAGACTTTGTTCACTTAAAAATTCTCTTTATCAAAATAACGTCCTTTGGCTCAGTAGACGGAAGACATTTTATGGATTTATTGATTGGTTTTTCTAGATAATTTATTCTAAGCTTCAGTAAGGTATTGCTGCAACTGCTCAGCACAAGTGAGGTCACATATCTGTCATCTTTCTGGCTTCTTCATGCAAGATGAGATAAATGGGTAACTGAGATGGAGTGCAGGGAGCCCGGCAAGTACTGTTTAACCACCATCTTCTCAGGCTTTTTGTCAGAGCGTGGGCTAATGCAAAGAAAAATAGCACTTAACCATCCTCCTTAGTTGACTTCATGGCATAATTGTTCCCTTTTAAAATTTAAATAAATAAAAGTGCAGTGCACACTGGAATGAAGCAGCAGTGAAGCAAAAGTAGTTCAGGAAGAGAATCCTGAGATCAAAACTCCTCCTTCCATGCTCTGGCTCACAGGTAGCCTTTTCCTGGATTTGTGAATGGATTTGGATGTTCAGAGTGATGCATGTCTTGCATTAAGTGGAACAGATTACAGTCCCACTGTTTGGGAAGGTGGGAATGAGTAGATCCTGGTGGTGTGAAGCTAGCAGGAGTTTTCACAAAAGGCTCTTAGTGACTTTGATCCATAGGGAAAGAAGTGAGATGCGTTTGGGTTCAGGGGAGGCTGGGTTGAAAGGGCCAGATTGTGACAGGGAAGGGAGTTTTGTAAGTGACCTAATGAGGTTAAAGCAGATGATCAGCACTTTGTACAATTTGCTGCTTCTTGGAGAAGGGAAGCATAGACAACACAGGCATTATTCTGGAAGGACATGGAGTTCCAGGCTCTGTACAGTGAGCAGCAGATGCCTAAAGGCAGATCTGTGTGATAGTTTATTTTTGCTAACTTTAATATTCAGGAGCAGTAGTAGATTTAGGAATAATAAGAAAAAGAAAGGGTGAATCCAGCTGCAGACTATTCAGTTCAATGCAATTGCCTTGCATTAGCTTCTCCCCACTCCTGAAAGAAAAAAGAAATTGAAAGGGGAGCAAGTAGCAAAATTAGGTGATTGGACAAAGGCTTAGGAGGTTCTTAGAACTTCAGGCATCAGTGCTCCCCTGGGATATGCCAGCTTTGTCTCCTGATAGCAGACCCTGGGAATGAACAGCCAAATTGCAGGTCACAACCTGGAATTCCCCAAGTACCTCCAGAATGTCTGCACTAAAATGACTCAAACTCAATAAGAAAGGATGTCAGATTTGACCCCTGATGGCCCAGAGGAATCCAAGCAAACAGTTGGATTTAAATCCAATCAATCATGTCGGTAAGGTGATTGAACACCCCCTACAGCA